GCCTCGACAGATGCACACAGATCTCTCTCTCTGATCAACCAATTAACGTTAAGAGGTTTATAGAAAAAAGCAACTCCATGGCGAATCATGCGAGAAAAAAGTAGGCCGGGCAAGCTTTGGATCAGGTTCGTTGCTCCTTCTTCTGCTCACGCTATCCAATGATCTTTGGGGACATCACAACATTGACGATTTGGATCTCGTTTTCTCCCCCGGGCTCGTTTCTAGACCGGTCAATCCTGAAGAAAGAAGAACTTGAAGAGCCCCGTCAATCGGTCTTCACTAATAGTAATAGTATATCCCACAAACACCCGAAGACTCTTTTTCGCTCCGAGACTTCAAGTTTTTTTTTCCGATGATCTTATAACAAACTTTGACCCTCCTTTTTTTTGTTTATCTCTAACGTTATGGTTTGGCCTATAATACTTTTCGTACTGTAGTCTTCACCAACCTTTCGCAGCTTTTTCTCACCCTGCACATTCCGAATCGGTCCAAATCCTCCTCACATAATAATCATCCTCTCAACCTTGTTAATCCTTGAATATTCTTTTTTTTTCTTTATGGCCATTCATCATCATCAATCCTCCGGCTCTATTTGTGTTGCTTTTGTTTCATGCAAATCCCCTAATATCTACCCTTGCTACAAAAAAAAGAAGAAGTATAAATATATATATATATATGTTGAGGTATGTATGTGTGTTCCCTGCTACATCAAATGACACTGTGATGTAATAACCAGAAACTGCTCTGTTTTAGTTGTGTTGTGCTTGTCGTGATCAGCTCGTTTTTTTTTCTTCCATTTAATTCTCCTTCTCTTTCCAGTTTTAAAAATTGTTTTTTGGTTTCAAGTTTCCAATGCTTAATTAGTTAAATCTCAAGTTCCAAGTAATCAATTCTCAATAAGTCAAGCTGAGGTAAATATAGATTGGTCTGATGGTGATGTATGTCTCTGCATCCTCATGGACAAGAATTCCCCTGGGCACAGATGTGTCAGACAAAAATAAGCAAATGTTTTGTTGTACTATAGTTAAAGCTCCAGATCACATGTTTAACTTCCACCTTGGCCTGATGATCCATGAATGACCAATATATCAATGAGATTGCTATTCCCGGACCTTTTTGCTGATATGATTTTGATGAGCAATCTAATTTCTTCTGGCAAGCTGAGCCGAGCATGCTCACTTTCTTGCAGCTTGATTGGACTGTCAAATCAGGTCATGATCATCTTTCTGGCTACAGTATGTACAGTGGGTAGATAGTGCTGAAACGAGGCGGCTTGTTTTGGATTCCAGTGCTCCAAAAACATCATCTAAATTGAAGTCATGAGACTTGGTCAAGTGGCGAGAATTGCAGAATAGGTCTCCAGAATGAATGTGAAAAAATAAAAACAAAAAACAAAGTTGCAAAATTTGTGAAAAATAAGAGATATATATAGGGCCTTAATAAAAAAACCCAATTTTTCCCAGTTTACATACACCCGGTTTCTGCCGCGCGCAGCACACACGGATTCCGTGTTTACACTTGGTTTTTGAATTAATTTTGTTCTGCTGATTGTTTGGGTTTTTTGAATTTTTAAAATTGTTTCCTACACTTTTGAAAGGTGTAGAATTTTATGGCAAAGTCCAATTATCATAAAAATGACTTTTATTTATTATTTTGCTCACTCATGTTTTCAATTAATTGTTAACGGCTTGTTTTTCATTCTTTTTTGACTCTGTAAATTTGATTCCTACACTTTGAATGGCGTAGAATTTAATGGTAATATTCACTTTCCATAAAAATGATTTCCTTGCCTTTTAATTTTTGTACTCACTCATTTTCTTGATGCAATCACTGTGCAAAGTTCCCAGTGGTGATTGTTGTGACCCAGTTACTGGGTTACCATCCGGCTCACTAGACACTAGTGGAGACAGCTTGACTGAGCGAGTTTGGAGAATTCATTCATTCATTCATTCATCACAAACTACATCAGGTCATGAGCCCTCATCTCAAATAAACACCTTTTTGTTCATATCTAGCCTAGCGTAGGGCAAGTTTTTTTTTTTTTTCATCTTATATCACCCAGCGTAGGGCAGACGATCAATTTTTTCTCTATATCATTTGACAAACTCAATTCATCTCCAACATATTGATCGCGGCATGTGGATCCCTCTAGAACAACCGATACACTGAGTTTTGAAAGTAGCAAGAACGTACGGAAGCCAGAGATTAGCTACCTTGTCCCAATACCTTGGTACCTAAGGGGGCTGAAGTTTGTCTGAGCGAGGATAAAAAATTCAGTGTTTGAAGTTTTCTATAGACATCCTTCAATAACCGGCCTTCCCTTGCTTCGATAATCAACACTTACTCAAAAGTCTTATCCCTCCTCCTTCCTTCCGTTCATCTGACTTCCCCAGCATCCTTTTATTTCATTCCCCTGTTCCTTTTTTCCTATCCTTTTTTCTCTTCTTTTTCTCAAAAAATCACCCCTATCTTACACCGTATCCTTTCTCTTATATCCCTCACTTCTTTCCCCATCATCTCTGTTGGAATTCTGCAGTCGTGGTGTCTTTCCTTTCTCTCCCTTTCACATCCTTGTCACTCCTTTCCACATCTGTCACTCATTTCTTTCCTGCTTCAGATGAATATGCTTCTGTCACCTTCTGTCCCACATCTCAGCCCACTTATGTATGTAGATAAATAATCATGCTCCTGAGTTAGAAATTGAAAGCATCCGTTCTTCTGTGCACTGATCCCTGGAGTCTCTACAGGATACAACTCCTTGTAGCGTGTGAGCTTTTCCTCCACGCAAGCTAGCAGCATTTAGCCCTTTTTTGGGCTCTCAGACCATTTGGTTTTTTCCTCAGAAGTTTGTTCTTGAGGCTTTTTCATCTCCCAGTCTCTCCCCGCTCTCATCAAAATCTCATAGTTCCTTCAATCTCCTTTCTACATTATCCTTTCTCTTATATCCCTCACTTCTTTCTACACACCAGTTACCCGCTCTCCTCCATGGCTTCAGACATCCGCAACACACACTCACCTCCCCAGACCAACAACCCGTGGCACAACGATCCTCATCGGCCAAATTCTCGGAACTCGCCGGTGGCATTGGCCATCAACAGTGGCACCAGACCCAACTCCAAACATTTACACTCTTGTAGCAGGAGCCCGCAATGCGCCAAGAGATCGGACCAACAACCGTCGACAAGAAGACGAGGAGGATGGCGATGTTCCAATGTACACCACAAACTAGGTCAATTGTTTCCTGGATGAAGCGCCTGTCCAATCTCTTTACCAAGGAAAGACACTGGGACAAATTGTGTCCAACGTTGTCTCAAGGAAAGACACCGGGACAAATTGTGTCCAACGTTGTCTCAAGGATGTTGAGTGGTGATAAACTCCAACCAAACAGAGCCAACTACGCCATCTGGGAGCTAATGATGAGAGAACGGGCTCTCGAGATCTTCAGAAACCCAACTTGGTACACAAAACCTTGCGTAGATCCTGTTCAAGAGCAAATTGGTAGATCACTACTCCTTGCCACAGTTGACAGCAACATGCATTGCAGCATGCTACGTCAACCGACTTGCCATGAAATGTTCAACTACTTAAACTTGAGGTTCTTTACAGTGACTCAAGCAGAACAACTCATGTGCTGGGACAGAATGATCAACTTGAAGCTGTCCAATTTCTCAAGCAGTGCTGAGGCGGTGACGAAGCTTTACAAAACTCTCAACAAATTCATCAGTTTTGGACTTGACATCAACCGTGAAACAATCGGAGGTCTTGCGCTTCAGAGCTCGATTGAAGCAGGCTCAGAACTACGTTGGGAAGTGGACCGGCAAGTTGAACAGGATCTGGAAGGATCAAGCAAGAAGCTCTCCAAGAAGGCTGTCACGCCAGACCAGATCCTCAAACATATTGATATTGTGAAACGACAAGTTGATCTTGGTTCTTCTCGGACGAGTACATTCTTGGCTTCTGTCCTGCAAGCGTACCGGTTGTCCATGGACACACATTCTGATCAAGCCAAGGAATACTATGACCCTCAGACCTGGAATGATCAACCCAAACAGGTAGAAGGCTTGGCTTTGTCAGGTCCTCAGTGCTGGAACTGTCATTCAACGGACCATCTGCTCAGAAAGTGTTGCCTCCCACAACGGGCGGATTTTGATTGCCCACCATTGTCGTTCAATGCCTTGAGACTACAGACTCAACAACCTGGGGGACATCAACTGACCAACACCCCACTGATTGCGCCTGGAAACTTCCAGGCGTGGTATCCAATTGTCACCCCACCGGGCTACCAACATTGCGGTTATCAGTCGGCTCAGTCTCCTTATGCCCCGCCACTGCCAGCAACAGGACCTGGTGGAAACCAGCCTGGGAAGAGAGCCAACTGGTACCGACCAGACTATCGTCAGAAGCCGCCATCCCAACAGCCCAGGCTGCAACCCCAAGCCTCAGTGAGCTCAGCCAACACCACAGGCCCACCCACCCAATCAGACCAAGATCAGACACGTCCACCGCAGGAGTACTACCGCCCACCGTCGCCAATCCAAGAGTCAACCTCAAGAATGATAGAGATTGGGGTGTTTGACAAAGGCCTCAAGAATAAGGTGGTGCCCAGTTTCCGTCACCTCACGGTGGGTGATAGCAATGACCCTGTTTTGGACACAGGTGCCACTAACCACCTGACCAGCAACAGGTACGCACTGAGTGATTTTTTCTTCTTGAAAATCCCATTCCTCTTTGAGTAGCCACTAAAGGGGGTGGTTCCTTCATCACAGGGGCTGGGGACCTCTCTTTTCCGACCCGGAATGGGCAAATCACAATTCTTAGAGGAGTGCTATATTGTGAGCAAGCCTTGTCAAATCTCATCTCTATGGCAGCTCTGAGAAAGGCTAACTCTAAATTCCTCTACAATCATGTAGAGGATGCCTTCCATATATTTTCTCATCACTGGTTAGTACTTTTCTGCTGCCAATTTTGCAGGACTACCAACAAATGGTGCCTACCTCGCCCGCTTCCTCCAAACCCATCTGGAGAACCACCATCTTCTACGTTTCTCTCTGCCATTGTTTGTCCTCCTGTTTCCTCCTATGACCAGTCAAATTCTCTTCCTCATCCTGCTTTGTAAAATTCTTCTTCTCATTATGTTCCTGTTACTCACAATGTTGTGGAGACCCAACAATGCAATGAAAACACTAACCACGTTGACTCCAAGAATCTAACCAGACCCACCGGATTAGCAGTGAAGACAGCAGAGAAGGAATTATTTGAGTCCCCTTTGGAAGTATCACCCAGTTTCACCTGGAGGCCGGAAGATCTAACAAAGGATGAGGCTACACTGCTACTTTGGCACAGGATTTTTGGCCATGCTAGCCTTCGAGTCATCAGGCGCCTAGTGAAACAACAAGCGGCTTTTGGCCTACCCGAGAAGATGCCTGCAGGACAACTACCATGTCCAGTGTGTGCAATACACAAAAGCAACAGGACCAACATTCTCCATTGGTCTAATAGGTCGGTTAAACCACTTGAAATTCTGAATGTGGACTTGATGGGACCTTTCCCTGTTGAGACTTACCACAAGGGTCACTATGTACTGACACTGAAAGATTTAGGTTCTGGCTATAATGAAGTTAAAATTATGGCAAATAAATCTGAGGCTAACAAACACATTGTAGACACCATCAACAGACTTTAGAGACAAACAGAACTGAAGGTCAAGGTACTACAGAGCGACAACAGAGGACATTTTGAAAACAAAGCATTGGCCACCTTCTTGACAACTAAAGGCATACAGGCGTAGAGGAGCCTACCTTACCACCATTACCAGAATGGAGTGGTTGAGCGTTTCAATAGAACAGTCTCTGACATGGGAAGAATGGTCTTAGGAGACAACAAATTGCTGCAACGCTTCTGGGGTTTTGCCTTCAAATGGGCCTCGTGGACTCTCAATTGACTTCCTAACAAGAAAACTGGAGAAAAGACACCGTATGAAGCACTGTTCAAAACCAAGCCACAAGTTGATAAAGCTAGAATTTTTGGAAGTATTGCTTATGTTCTACAACCACCGGTGTGGAACTACTCTTGGGAGGAATAGAGCTTGAGAGGGATGAGTGCTTTATTGGGCTGCCTCTCTGATAACAAGAAAATATAAGAGTATGGACTCTTAAGGAAAAAGGTGTGGCTGTGGAGATTTCTTGAGGATGGTATGTCTAATATTTCTTATGGTTACTAGTCTAAATAAACTTGTCACAAATCAAGGTATCCCAAATGTTGATGGGCAAATACCTGGCTAATAGTGGGTGATCAGTTATCTGAATTGCTGGGGCAGGCTCTGATGGGGAACAAATGAAGAGAAAAACAAAGCTCCTTATATACAAGATTCTGGGGAGTGGCCAATTTGTGGTTGGAAGATGGATGGAACAAAATGGAACAAATAATTAACAAGGAAGAAAATTGAACTATGAACAATGTGGCCTAATTTAGTGTGGCACTAAGATAAGATAAGACTAGACTGAAACCAAAGAGAGAGCCAAGCTAAGATAAGATAATGAATTCAGTCTGAAACAGAGAGAGGCTGGGATAATCTTATCAAGGGGAAGAGGTGGGGGTAATTATTTCACCCAGATGGGGATTGAATAGACAAAGGGAAGAAAGGGCCAAAAGAGGGCTAGTATGAAACATGGCTGTTGTGTGGTAATTCTTGGCATAAGGTGGAAGGAGATAAGAGATAAGGAATATATTTTAGAGGGGTTTGAGGTTATATTGAGAAGGGGTACTAGTGTATAATTAGTGTGTGAGCTAATTCTTATCAAGAATGAACTGGGAATTTGGTCTTGGGTTTCATTTGAGGAGTTTCAGAGGTGTGGGAGATGTTATTATCCATGAGGGGGGGCAATTGTGTGGGTTATTGGTTTGTTGCCTTTGTTTGAGGGCCTGGGGAAAATCTTGAGGGGTCTTGGGTCTGTGATTCTTGTGTGATATGTAGTCTTGCTGTGCCTTGAGGTTCAGGATTGGCTTACCACACCGGAAAAAAGGAACATACTAGCTGATCATGCATTTAAGGCACATGTTATTTCCCACCTGGACGAGAGCAAAGGTTGGATGTTCTGGGTGCCGGAGACAGATAAGCTGGTGAAATACGCCTGGGCTACCTTTGAAGAAATACCTGGCGCACCGATGCTGACAACTGATCAAGTGAACAAACAGCTGAAGACATTACTAACAATTGACGTGAAAAGCAATCTTGTTTCTTTAGGTGGATTCTCTCATGAGCTGGCATATGAGCAAGAGGAACGGCTAGTCAACAATGTTATCATCAACTGTGGGTTTTATTCAGCAGGTATTCCAAAGTTGTACAAACAGGCCCAGAAATCACCCGACTGGGATAGATGGAAGGCTGCCGTAGAAGAAGAACTTGGCAACCTTGACAGAAAGAAAGTCTGGGTGCTGAGTTTTTCTCAGTTCTGTCTCTCTCTGACCTTCATCTCTTTCTAGTCATCAAAAATCAGACCAGTCTATAATTATCAAGTAGCTTGTTTTCTGTTGTTATTAAGCCCCTTCTGAGTCAAATATGAACCCTAAGTAATTAGCTTTTCTCAACAACTAATGTCTCTACAATGATTTCTTCTCTTTCCTGATACTTTTGTTTGATTTATCAAAAACTGGTCACTTAGAATTAACGACTCTAAATGTTTGTGAATTATGACATGTTTTCTTTTGATTAACTCATCCGGCTTGTCTAAAAGAGACTGAGAAGCCTTGACCGGTTGGTTTCTTCCAAAAACCCATGTCTCTTTCTCTCAGCTTTTATTCATTATGGTTTTTTATTCATTTTCATTTCTACCACATTACCACATTTTGCTCACTTGTACTTAGTCTATTTAAACCTGGCTTCTTACTTTTGAATGAAAACTCATCAGTTCTTTCATTCATTTTCCGTGAGCCTTTCCCAAAAAAGAGTTCTTCCCTTTTTTGGCCCTTCACCTCTTACACCTGAGTTCAAAATTTGAACACTGGGAAGTGAAAATAATGGATTCACCAAAACAAGAGCTCGATGGGCAATGGGTTTTTGTGATCAAGACAGCATCGGATGGTACAATAACTAGGTATAAAGCATGATATGTGGCAAAGGGATTTACCCAAGTCAAGGATGTTGATTTCAAAAAGACTTTTGCCCCCACCGCGACCTTTATGTCTATGAGATTGGTACTGACACTAGCAGCAGCACATAACTGGCCGGTTCATTCTTTTGATTTTGTAGCAGCTTACCTGAACTCAGACATTGATGAAGAGATTTGGATAAAACCACCAGAAGGCTTGAAACTGGGACCGGGAGAAGGACTGCGACTGAAGAAGGCTCTATACGGGACAAGACAGGCGGCAAGATGCTGGTGGCTACATTTGAAGAACATCCTGTTGGATCTAGGATACTTGGCGAGTCATTATGACACAAGTCTCTATGTATTGCAGCAACGGTGCAACCATTACGAGACACGTACTTGTAATGGCCCGTATCGTACTTTCAAAGTTGGCAATTACACGGAATCGTATCGTACTCATTCTTGAGTACGATACAATGTATTTTTACATAAGTGTACTTCCCCAATAATACAATACACCATACTCGTAAGATTATGTACTTGGGAAAAGTACAATACGTGACTGATACAGATACGTAACTAGCTGTACTTCCATGTACTCCTTTCTTCATTTTTGTTTAATTTTTTTCAATTTTTTTTGTATTTTTTTCAATTTTTTTTCCCAATAGTTTTTCTCAATATTTTTTTCTCAATTTTGTTGCTCAATTTTTTTCTCACCTTTTTGTTCTCACCTGTTTTTTGGGTCAGGCTAGGAGATTGAACAAGCTGGTTCACTCCAAACCATTTGGAATGAAGTGTTTTGTACTAGAAAATCTTGGCCAAGTTTGTTGGTGTCATATGGAAGCATGTTATGTGTGAAATCAACTCAAATTCTATCAAATTTTGTGGGGATTTCACACATTATGCTGCTACAGTACACTGCTACATTGTGCAAACAAATGGGGCCCTAGTGTTTTTTGGAGTGTTCAACCTTGCACTCCAATTTTTTTGGAGTGTAAAAATGATGCACTCCATTGATATTCAAATACCAAACACTTCCAAGGTTTTTGTCAGCCTTAGAGCAAGCCAAGCTGGCCAAAAGACTGCTTAATTAAGCCCTCCTTTTCACTCAAGTTCACACTGTAACTTTTTCATCTTAATCTTTTATTTAATTCTGACTTCAGAAGTTAATTCCTCTGCTGAATTTAAATTATTAACCACTACCCACTTTTACAATACTCTCCTCCTTCAAAGACTTTGCAATATTTCACTGTACCTTGTGAATTTGGGATCCCCAAAAAATGAATCAAAAAGGCTGGGAAAAACCGGGTGTAGAAGCAGAAAAGCGGGTGTGAAAAACTGGGTGTGGATAGCAGAAAAGGGGGGTACGTTTATTAATCCCAAGAAAAAAAAAATTGAAAAATTGAAAAAAATGAGGAAAAAATGAGAAAAAAATGAGAAAAAAATGAGAAAAAAATGAGAAAAAAATGAGAAAAAAATGAGAAAAAAATGAGGAAAAAGACACATAAAAGCATTGAGAAATGCAGTAATAGTGGTGAAACCCATCCCCATAATCATACAAAACTAAAAAATGTTGAAATTCTGTAATCAAGTGTGTTCTAAATATCGGTGTCAGGCAGGGACTTGGTGGCCTAGTTGGTAAAGGCAGAAATTCTAGTATAGTGTCTTAGCTTCAAGCTAAGGTTGCTGGTTCAAATCCTGCCCAAGTCAATTTTTTCTGCTAACTGTCTG